CAACAGTATATATGAATCATGGCCGATAATTTTCGAATAACCCGTTTCATCTTATTTCTTAATCGAACATGAACATGTTAGATGGGACGTCTGTCGTCGTTAGACTAACCACGAAGTGATACCACGTGTGGCGGGGCATGGACGCTTGAGTTATATAGTACAAGCAACCTACACTGACGCAATAAAGACAGGTGCGTCAAGACCTCACGTACACTGCGCGTGCAGATGAAGGTGAGTCGTTCGAAGAAACACGTTTACATAAAGGAAAACCAAAACTGTATTTGAATGATTAAATTTGTCAATAAAACTCTTTTGGTATTACTTGAACTATGTGCTCTACCGACTCCAAACGCAGCCGTTTGATCACACCCCATGCGCGTCTATTATCGATCGTGTTGGTAGTCGCTTACTGCCGAGTCTTATCTCTAATGGTAATATTGAGGAATATTTTTCGCTACGATTATATTCATATCGACTTTTGTACAATGTCAATGTGATGTAAGTGAAATGTCTCGTTACGATATAGTTCTGGCCCGTTGCTGCGGCTCGGAGGTGGACTCGTATGAGCTGGACTGCAAATATAGGAATACGGCTTGTACCGACAAATGAGTTCTAAACGAAATCTTTGTATTTGTGACGGTCAAATTGCAGCCTCCTTCAGTCGACTTGGTCTGTGCACTTTTGATTCGGTCGCTCTTGACAGAACAATGACTTCAAATGGAGGTACTGTTTTTACGCACACAATAATTTTCTTTGAAGATTCCAGACACAAAAAAGGGCTCCTGGTCCCGATGACCGTATCACTTACTTTTTCCTTCGAAATTTCATAATGCATATGGTAAAGAACTTGCATGGAAGATTCACGCAAATGCTGTGCCGGAAACCTCAACTGCACTTGAGCCATATTTATTCACGGTAAGAGAGAACCAGACTATCTGTTGAGTGCTTATCACTATTCGAAGACGTCTGTGTCGAATCGGTCAGTGCCATCATCTACCATGACCACACCGTTTTCCTTCTCGCTGGCTCACTCTGCTGACTCGAGACGTCGGACTTCACGGGCCACTTTGCAATAGGTAAGTGTGAGTGGTACCCTAACCCGATGCGCGTGCAGGGCGAGAAGTCAAAAAGCGGCGACCTGATGCTGCTTCGCATAGCCACCGATAAATTATCTTGCTCTAGCGTCTACCCCCAGTAGCTAAATCGACGGACCGCCACCACGTTCTAGACGAGCACATGGACGTGCCCGTTAAAGCTGTGATAAAGCAAGCGCTATCTGTTGAGTCCGCTCCAAAGCTATACCGACTATTCTGACACGCAGTCCACTCTCAATGGTGGTGGTGTCAAGTACGTCCATTATTATGATAACTAACGACTGATAAGTGTGACAAGAAGTACGGCCCGGGTATCGGGTCGACAACTAAAGGGCTCCGTAGAGCCAGGGGCGACGGCAACGAGGTCAGAGACCCTCCTACCGAAGCCAACTACGAGTCAATCATGACCGCTGGCGCGACCAAGTAGACTGGGGACATGCGTACCGCCGGAGCGGCAGCACGTACAACGCGGGTATGCTGCCATATAAGGCAACAAACCCCTTTAGGACCGCTTGCGCGGCCCCCGACGTGGAGTGCGAACACCGAAGTGACTGCGTGGCGTGGAGAACGCCAACCCGCCATATATCTCTCCGAGGAGCTCAACCATCTGCGATGGTGGCTCCCTTCAGCCGCTTGCGCGGCCCCCGACGTGGAGTGCGATCACCGAAGTGACTGCGTGGCGTGGAGAACGCCAACCCGCCATATATCTCTCCGAGGAGCTCAACCATCTGCGATGGTGGCTCCCTTCAGCCGCTTGCGCGGCCCCCGACGTGGAGTGCGATCACCGAAGTGACTGCGTGGCGTGGAGAACGCCACCCCGCCATATATCTCTCCGAGGAGCTCAACCATCTGCGATGGTGGCTCCCTTCAGCCGCTTGCGCGGCCCCCGACGTGGAGTGCGATCACCGAAGTGACTGCGTGGCGTGGAGAACGCCAACCCGCCATATATCTCTCCGAGGAGCTCAACCATCTGCGATGGTGGCTCCCTTCAGCCGCTTGCGCGGCCCCCGACGTGGAGTGCGATCACCGAAGTGACTGCGTGGCGTGGAGAACGCCACCCCGCCATATATCTCTCCGAGGAGCTCAACCATCTGCGATGGTGGCTCCCTTCAGCCGCTTGCGCGGCCCCCGACGTGGAGTGCGATCACCGAAGTGACTGCGTGGCGTGGAGAACGCCACCCCGCCATATATCTCTCCGAGGAGCTCAACCATCTGCGATGGTGGCTCCCTTCAGCCGCTTGCGCGGCCCCCGACGTGGAGTGCGATCACCGAAGTGACTGCGTGGCGTGGAGAACGCCACCCCGCCATATATCTCTCCGAGGAGCTCAACCATCTGCGATGGTGGCTCCCTTCAGCCGCTTGCGCGGCCCCCGACGTGGAGTGCGATCACCGAAGTGACTGCGTGGCGTGGAGAACGCCAACCCGCCATATATCTCTCCGAGGAGCTCAACCATCTGCGATGGTGGCTCCCTTCAGCCGCTTGCGCGGCCCCCGACGTGGAGTGCGATCACCGAAGTGACTGCGTGGCGTGGAGAACGCCACCCCGCCATATATCTCTCCGAGGAGCTCAACCATCTGCGATGGTGGCTCCCTTCAGCCGCTTGCGCGGCCCCCGACGTGGAGTGCGATCACCGAAGTGACTGCGTGGCGTGGAGAACGCCACCCCGCCATATATCTCTCCGAGGAGCTCAACCATCTGCGATGGTGGCTCCCTTCAGCCGCTTGCGCGGCCCCCGACGTGGAGTGCGATCACCGAAGTGACTGCGTGGCGAGTCCACTCTCAATGGTATCGACATGGAGATGACGCGGAAACTGCTTCCTGAGCCGGTCGATGTTGCAAATGCGCAGTAGGAGCACCAAACAATCGACATATTGCCAGGGCGTGCGCCGATCTCACCGACACCCCACCGAACAGCGGTACAAAGAGCAAGTGAACAAAGTTGGACATGTCTAGATGCAACGTCGCTAGGACAGTGCCACTGACTTAATGCAAAGATGGTGGGCGAAGAGCTGGCTCTACGTCAACGTGTTGCAGGGAGTGCTCGCATTTGGCAGTAGACACCGCGAGAGCCAGACGGCTCTCTTTGGCCTATAATGGTTATAAAGTGTCTGATATATCCTAAGCCTGAGTACCAACGCGTGTTCCTCAAGCGAGCTCAATGATCCAGGGGGCTCGTTGTCGTGGGGTAATGGCAGACACTGGAAGTTCTGTTGCAGCTGATAGATTGCAGAGGTCAGCCTGACGCCTGTGCTCGGACTCATATCCCTGTTGAATGCCCGCGTGACCCACCCTTTTTTATTGGATTGGCGACACGTCAGTTACAGGTCTGGCGCGGGATCAGCCCAGGCGTGCTGACAAATCACCAGCCGCTTCGCCACCAGCCGCTTCGCCAAGTGGCAGTCGGGCCGATCAGACCAGCAGGAACAGTCTCCTGAGCACAAGCTCGATGAATTAGGGGGCCTGTCTAGCGTAGCTTGAAGTCTACGCTTCTGGCTCTAGAGCGCACGCCGCCCTGATCCGCAAAAGCGTGGCACGTGCTTTAGACCAACTACGCGCGAAAGAAAGGGTCTCGTGCTTCCTATTACACCTGACTTGTCATAGACAGTAAGACGACGTCATCGGCGCTAGGCGCGTGATTGCTGTCAACGCAGAGCTCGCGAGGTCGCCTCGTTTACCACCCACCGTCATCAGCTTTGGCGATTCTAAGTAACTGCTTCGTTCGATCGCAGTACGCACTACAACCACCACGCGGTGCTGTATCATAATCATAACTGCTGTCCCCACGGCGTTTATAGTGGCCGCGACAAATGGGTTACGTACAACGCGTCACGGGTCAGTGTACTACCGGCGTCTCGAGAACGTGTGCTTGAAACGCGCTTTGTAGCGGCGCGAGTGCAACACGAGGGCCTTTTTATATCACGCGCAGAAACGGTCCTTGAGCTAGTCAATGCAGTGTCAGGGGGGTGCCGATCTTCCTTCATGCTGCGATACGTGCGCTGTTCCATATGCCAGGAAGCAACGAGGTCTCCCGATCGTCTGCATCTATGCAGCACTCTGCAAATCCCGCAGAAGCCACTACTATATCGCAGGCGGAGGCGGTATGGGGCTAAAGGCCATTACTACCTCACACGCCGCCGACGGAACGCATGCCCATCTGTATTCGGCACTTGCATGTGTCCTTCGAGCGCACGCCGACCGACTTGTCATCACGAGTAAATGCGGCGACATGGCCGTGCGGCATTTCCATCGCTTGCGCCGCTGTCTCAGATCAGCAGCTGAGCCGTCGGCGTCGGTGCAATAAGATCGTTGTGGTCGTGATCATGTGTACGAGACTGGCTGGGCGAGAAATTTCGCACGAGCCAGCCTGAGCTCAAGATCATGGTTGCATCTAGTAGTGGATCCCTCTGCACTGATCGCGCCGTATCCCTTCGACCTGAGAATGGAATAAAAGAGGCAGACGGCGTCGCATATAACGTGCAGCACTTGGCGCCTCGATAAAACCTCGTCGCCCTGTTGCCGGCGGGATTCCGTTTTGCCTGGGCCTTGTATCGGCGCACGAGCTGGGGCGATGTCGTTACATCCGGTTTCGGTCGAAAAACCTCAGCGAGCCAGATTCGCTCGAGCGGCCCAGCGATTGGTCACCGCGCACGCTGAGCGAGCCGTTCACGACGAGGCAGTAACATCCATGCGCGCCTGCCTGGTCGCCGCCTGCCTACGTGCCCGCCCGCCTGCGTACCCGCTCGGCCATCGTGGTGGTACTCGAGTAACGGTTCTCATTCTCCCATTTTCCTCCTCGCACCGACTTCTGCGTCTGTGCCGTCGATCGCGACCGTATCTCGTCCAGCGAACCAAAGTCTCTGAACGTTGACGACTAAGTTGAAGCTCCTGACTCGCCTGTCGACCTCATGGCTCCTGCTGCTGCCCCTGCCGCTGCCGCTGGCGGAGGCGGACGCAATTCGTACATGTCGCTCGCGACGCCCAACGACGTCAAGAATTACACGAACGACGTGGGTCAGATTCAGTGGGCGCAAGTGCCGCTGAACGCTGCACTGGACAAGCTCAAGTCGTCCCGTGAAGGGCTGACGTCCCACGAAGCCGAGAAGCGCCTGGCCGAGTACGGGCCGAACAAGCTGCCGGAGGAGAAGGTGAACAAGTTTACGCTCTTCATGGGCTTCATGTGGAACCCGCTGTCGTGGGCCATGGAAGTCGCCGCGGTGCTGTCGATCGTGCTGCTCGACTACGCCGACTTTGCGCTCATTATGTTCCTACTGCTGCTGAACGCTGTCATTGGGTTCTTGGAAGAGGTGCAGGCGGGCGATGCCGTGTCCGCCCTCATGGGCCAACTGGCGCCCGAGGCCAAAGTGTTCCGCGACGGCGAGATCAAGAACATCCCAGCAGACCTGCTCGTCCCTGGCGACGTGATCCGCGTGCGTCTCGGTGACGTGATCCCGGCTGACCTCAAGTTCCTCGAGGGCGACGCTGTCAAAGTGGACCAGTCGTCGCTCACGGGCGAGTCGCTGCCTGTGACGAAGAACGAAGGCGACGAGGGCTACTCTGGCTCAGTCGTGAAGCAAGGCGAGATTGAGGCTGTGGTGACCAGCACGGGCATCAACACGTTCCTGGGTCGCGCTGCTGAGAAGATCGCGTCTGCGGACTCGCACGGCCGTCTTCAGATGGTGCTGACGACTGTGGGCAACTTTTGCATGGTGTCGATCCTGTTTTGGTGTGTGGTGGAGCTGCTCGTGCAAATGGCGGGCCGCTCGTCGCAGAACCCGTGCGTGATCGTGACGGACGGCTGCCTGGGCGTCGCCAACATCCTCGTACTGATCGTTGGCGGTATTCCGGTGGCCATGCCGACTGTACTGTCGGTGACGCTCGCCATTGGTTCATCTGCTCTGGCCAAAGAGAACGCTATCGTGACTCGTCTGACGTGCATTGAAGAGATGGCTTCGATGGAGGTGCTCTGCTCGGACAAGACGGGCACGTTGACGCTGAACCAGCTGTCGGTGGACATGGACAACCTGATCCCGTACAACAACTTCTCGACCAAGGACATCCTCAAGTACGGCGCTCTGTCGGCGCGTACGGAGAACAATGAGGCCATTGACGTTGTGTGCCACAACACGTACCCGGGCCACGCGACGATGTGGAAAGAGTACACGCTGTTGCACTACACGCCGTTCGACCCCACGACGAAGCGCACGATTGCCAAGCTGAAGGACAACAAGACGGGCGAGATCTTCCGTGCCGTGAAGGGCGCCCCTCAGGTGGTGCTGGACATGGACGTGAACGCAGACATGCTTCGCACGGAGGTCGAAGAGCGCATCGACGAGTTTGCTTCGCGCGGCTACCGTGGTCTCGGCGTGGGTATCTCTCGCAGCGGCGACGTTCCAATAGAGGAGTGCGAGTGGCAGATGATTGGTCTGCTGCCGCTGTTCGACCCGCCTCGTCACGACACGGCCGACACTGTGAAGAAGGCCATTGCTCTGGGCATTGCGGTGAAGATGGTCACGGGTGATCAGAAGGCCATTGCCGTGGAGACTTGCCGTCAGCTGGGAATGCCGACCAACATCTTGGACACTTCTTTCTTCAACACTGCCCCGCCGCCTGGACTGAACCTGGCGCAGATGATTTACGACACGGACGGCTTTGCCCAGGTGTTCCCCGAGCACAAGTTTGAGATCGTGAAGCACCTGCAGTCGCTCGACAAGGTGGTGGGTATGACGGGTGACGGCGTGAACGACGCCCCAGCCCTGGCTCAGGCCGACATTGGTATTGCGGTGGACGACGCGACTGACGCCGCTCGTGCCGCCGCGGACATTGTGCTCGTTTCTCCTGGTCTGAGTGTCATTATCACAGCCATCCGCATGAGTCGCGAGATCTTCTTGCGCATGAAGAACTACGCCATGTACTCGATCGCCATGACGGTGCGTATCGTGTTCACGTTCGGCATCCTGACGGTAGCGTGGAACTGGTACTTCCCTCCGATTCTCGTGGTGATTCTGGCCATCCTGAACGACGGCACGATCCTGACGATCTCGAAGGACAACGTGGTTGCGTCGCCGTACCCGGACTCGTGGAAGCTGAAAGAGGTCTTCATCCAGTCGATTACGTTCGGCCTGTGGCTGACCCTGTCGACCATCGTGCTGTTCGCCGTTGTGAGCCACTCGTCTGGTTTCGAGAGTGCTGGCGTGGAAAATTTGTGCGTGAGCTGCATGAAGGACGAGTGCCACGACTTCTTCCAGGACCAGTACCAGCGATGTGTGATGGACAACAACGCGACTGGGTGTGGTGAGATGACAGGCAGCGTGCCACAAGCCGCTAGCTTGCATGAAGTGGGCGAGTTCCGCAGCGGCATTGTTGACGCGTACTGGACGGAGTACCAGCGTCGATACGAATCGCGCTCGAAGCTGTTCGAGGACCTGTCGGATGTGCACCTCAATTCGCTGCCGAACGATGTGAAGCCGTCGGCAGAGGTCGCGTACAACCAGTACGTGTATGCGTATACCCTGGGTTTTGGCGGCGCTGCCTATGAGGGCGACTACAACGTGTTCACTGCCACTCAGTTGGGCCATGGCGTGACCTTCATCGGCAACGACGAGGTGCCCCTTACGAACGAGGTCAGTTTTTGCGACTACGTGTGGGGTTTCAGCAACTGGAACTCGACGTGGACGCGCAACAACGAGATGATCGGCCCCGGCATCCAGCGCAAGGAAGGCGTGCTGCGGTCGCTGGTGTACCTGCAGGTATCTATCTCTGGCCAGGCTCTGATCTTCGTGACGCGCACGGCCGGCAGCAACAACTGGTTCTTTGCCGAGAAGCCGTGCAACATGCTGTTGATTGCGTTCGTGTTCGCCCAGGTCGTTGCGTCGGTCGTGGGCTGGATCGGTTTCGGCGGCTACCCGACGGACCGCATTGCTGTGATCGGCTGCGGCGGCAGCTACACGCTGATTGCGTGGCTGTGGTCCATCTTGTGGCAGTTCCCGCTCGACGTGATCAAGTTTATGGTGAATTACATATTGACGAAGAATGCGTACGCGAGCACGGCTTTCACCGAGCGCATCAATGCAGGCCACCCGACAATGAAGCACTCGATCGTGACGAACACGCAGCGTTCGATCCGCGCTAGCCGCACCGTGTAAGAGGGCGCTGTTCTGGATCGCGCACAGAAGCGTGTAGTAGCTGTTTCAGGATGAAGAGTTGGTTGGAATCTTCCCGCTGTTTATGAAGCACTTGAGAGTCCATTCTAATGTCGACGAGCTATAAGATATTGCCTGATGTGCGCAGCCATGTCAGCGAACGGTGGTGTGTTCCTGGTACATGCTGTAGAATACTGGAAGAGCAAACGAATACAACCAAATTGTCTACCATTCCTGTGTGTTGCTTCGCTTTGTATCATCGTCAGTCGAGCACGTTGCACTTCAGGAGAGTCTAAACAACAAAGAGGCGGGCGGGGGGGCCGCAATGCTCACGGGCCTACAAGAGAGCCACGGCATTGTGAAGACGGCCCCCGCCTGAGCAATGCAGTAGACAAAGAAACCTCAGTCCTCAGCTCTGGTGCAAATTCTTTTTGTCGCATCATGCAGCGCGTGGCGGTCTGCTCGTGATGCAAAAGGAGCCGCTGGTGCCACTAGCCTTTGATGTTGGTGCAAACCATCCATCGCACGTGAGAGCTTCATGCAGGACACTGAAGGCACTGCGTGCATAGAAGCACGTTGCATTCAACATGTTGTTCCTGCAACAGCCGACTTGTTTATTTGCTTAATGCATCTAGTGACGCTTGACGCCAAACCCACGTCTCTCTTACCATGCAATTTGCCACGCCTTGTCAACTCTTCTGCTTTGACGTGCACAGTGTCTGTCAATCTCACATTTATCAGCAACAGCAGTTGCTGCCGATAGGGACGTTTGTGCAGGCAAGTTGCCATGCTAGTACTGATGTTGGGAGCGCCGTCATCGAGTCGACGCAACCGCGATCGATGAAGCCCGTGTCATGAGTGTTCACGACCGACTTCTTTTCCTCACACAGTTCCCGTCGCCCCAGTGTCGGTGATGTAGAGGGCAATATGTCGAGACGCTTACGACTTACGAATGGCCGTCGAACCACGGCTGCGTAAGACCTACATCACCTTCTTCTGTCCGGATCACCGGCACCAACAACGACGTTGCAGCCTCGAGAGTGAACAGATTGTTGATGGAGAGCAAACACATTGATGATAGACAGCGAACAGATTGTTGATGGCGGTCTACAACGTACCTCCAAGCGGCAACGCTGGCTCGAGGGCAGTCGCTTGGCCACTAGGTAGTGGTTGCGACAAGGAGGAGGTGAACCAGGACATTTCGACGTGACTTTTATTGCCGACACTGTCATACGGGTCGCTGCAAACAACGACACGACGACTTCGTCGCTGTAGTTTACGCGAGCGCAGTATTAGTATTCAGCCAGCGAAGTGGGTGACAGTACGTGTGGCACGATCAGTGCGTATGCCATCACGACACGAACTCATGAGCTCCCAAAACGCTAGTGCCACTTCATGATGTGCACCACGGACCCGGCTATTGCCGACGGACCGCTACAATGTTATTGCAATATCGCACCAAGCGCGCCCACCATTCAATATGACCGAGTACCTGCCCAAGACGAATCGCACGTACAAGGAGAAGAGCTACTGGGACTCGCGCTTCGATAGGTACGCCACTGTCTGCTATGATGCCCGATGGCAGCAACATCGAACAGCTGTAATCGTGTGCTCTCTATCGTGAGTAGTGAAGAGTCGTACGACTGGCTGGTTCGCTTCGAAAACGTGGCGGAGTTACTTGCCAAGTATGTGCGTCCATCAGACCGCATTCTAGTGGTACGTGGCTTTGCAGTCGATGATACTACATGAGGAGCTCAATTGATGACGAACGGAGTCCGTGCAGGTCGGATGCGGCAACTCGACGTTCAGCATCGACATGGTACGATGACAGCAGCCCTCTCTCAATCTCTCTCATGACTTTTTATCTGCGTCTCGTGTCTGACCATATTCTATCTGCGTCTTGTCGTATGCAGTACAACAGCGGCTTCCACCACATCACCAACATTGACTTTTCCAAGACTGTCATTGAGCGCATGAGCGCCAAGTACAGCGTGAGTCGATTTGTTGTTTGGTGCGTACCTTTTGTAGTGTTATCGTGATTGTAAGTGTTGCCGTGATGGATGAATGGATGGCTGCAGAAGGAGCTGCTCGAGATGAAGTGGATCGAGGCGGACATGACCACGTTGAGTAACGTCTTTGCACCTGGAAGCTTTGACGTGGTCATTGACAAGGCTGCTATGGACGCGCTCATGTGCGACGAAGGCGACGTCTGGTCGCCCTCGGAAGTGGTGATCAAGCAGGCTGCTGCCATGTGCAGCGGCATCACGTGCGTACTGGCGCCTCAGGGCACCTTCCTGCAGATCTCGTTCGCGCAGCCGCATTTCCGCAGACGCTTCCTGCTGGGCGAGGGCGAGCAAGCGCCTACTAGCACGGCGTACGACTGGGACTATTCTTACCACAACATCGGTATGTACGTCATGATGTAGCTGTTCTTGCTTGTGAGGGCCAACCAAGTGCTAATGATCGGCTTTGCGGTTTATTTGACGGCAGACGTTGGTCTCGGATACTTTTTCTACGTGCTGCAAAAGTGCAGCCATGAGTGTGTAGCCAACCCATCACCGCCTCAATAGAGACTGCAAATTTGATTTGAGACTTGGCGAACTTGCAGGAGCTCTTTGGATCTATTGGTCTGCCATGCAGCGCGTCCTACAGCCTCCCGGCGTTCTCTCACTTTGGAATTTACTACCGCTCGGAACGATCGCAGCCGATGGAGCACTCGCACTCGGACCACAGTCACGACCACGACCATGATCACAGTCACGGCCACGGCCACGGCCACAGCCACGAGCAAAAGATCGATGGAGACGAGGCCGTCCGCCGCTTTACACAGAGCCGCGCCCGCACACCGACGCCGAGCGAAGAACAGCAGCTGCGTGAACATGGCCACACGCACGAGCACATGGAACACGCGGGTGTGTTCTACGAGCGCGATGCAGCCAAGTCTGGGCGGGATTGGACGCAGCGCGCGTTCACTGTGGGCATCGGCGGACCCGTAGGCAGCGGCAAGACGGCACTGATGCTGGCGCTGTGTCGCGCACTCAAGGACAAGTACAGTCTCGCCGCCGTGACCAACGACATCTTCACGCGCGAGGACGGCGAGTTTCTCGTGCGGCACGACGCGCTGCCCGAGGAGCGTATACGCGCTATTGAAACGGGTGGCTGTCCGCACGCAGCCATCCGAGAAGACATTTCGGCCAACTTGCAGGCGTGCGAGGATCTGACTGACGAGTTTGGTGCTCAGCTGCTGCTGGTGGAGTCGGGTGGAGGTGCGTGTGGCGCCTGACTGCCACGTAAGAATGGATCGTGGCTAGTGGTGTCTGATGTGTGCTGCGTGCTGTGTGCTCTGTGCTGTCTGTAGACAATTTGGCCGCTAACTTCAGCCGCGAGCTGGCGGACTATATCATTTACGTCATCGACGTGGCCGGAGGCGACAAGGTGCCACGTAAGGGCGGTCCAGGCATCACCCAAGCAGACCTGTTGGTGATTAATAAGACCGATCTCGCCCCCCACGTCGGTGCAGATTTGGACGTAATGGACCACGATGCGAAGCGAATGCGTGGCGAGGGACCGACAGTGTTCTCGCAGATCAACCAGAGCAAGGGCGTCGAAGAGATCATCGAACACATGGTCAAGGCGTGGAAGGCGATCGTGTAAAGCGGCTGCAATGCCGCACGCACTGATGCGCGTTCTATTTCCATGCGTTCATGTGGCTGGACGCGAGAGTACGCTAATGGCCACGTGGTTGTCAATCATAAAGCTACGGTGTTGGTGTGGCTTTGATGACGTGTCGATGTTTGTAGTGTCAGAAGTCAAAGCCGAAGGTTCCGATCTTTGACAAAGAAGACCGGGGAAGCAGCATCAGGTCCAGGTAGCTCGACTTTCTGCCTGTGGTGGGGTGGGACAAGATAGATACGCTTGAAGTGCGCGTAAGATCGGCCGGTGGAAACAAAAGCGATGTGTCTGAAGTCCATCCGCACGATCTTGCAGCTAGCAGACAGTTTGTTGACACCGAAGAGACCACGCGGTCGATCGAATCGATTGTGGACAGCCACAGAATGTGTTGGTGCCGACAGGCGCTTCGCAGGTACGTGTGTAGGTCGGTAAGCGCTAGGGAGCGAGCGCTTACTGTTCGTTACGAACGCCCACTGGTGTCGACAAAAGAGAATCGGTTTCGACGCTTCTGATCGGCTTCACGGGCTGTGTGCGAAAGGCACCCCGAGCAAAGTCGTTTTCGTGACATTTATCGAAGCTTACACGTCGATTCTGGTTATGTGTGCAATGGCGGTAGAAAGTCGATCGAGGCGGAAACGGGGTGGGACAATAACACGACATTGACATTAATCTGACTGCCGTTGCGAATGTTATCTTAGTGGATGATATCTCGCGATATTACCGAGCAATGTAGTGGTGATAACAATTACCCTTTCGAGGGCGATATGTAGCAACTGGTGATGACGTCCTCATCATCGGCTAGGCAATGATGTCAGCCTGCTGATCCACCATTGTAGAATCCATGAGTGCACTTGGTTGGATGGGCAAGTACATTTATACAAGTTGGTGTAGCGGGTGCTCGAAGGGCAATTGTCACGGAGAAGCCGTTGCACGACACGAGCTATGTATCAATGTCGATATGAGTACTACCCAGGAGAGAGATAGGTATTAAATTCTAGTATATTGTCACATCATGAAATATCCTTGTAGCGAAAGGTGACGATTAGACACAATTTTGTGTCGGCCGCTAGATAAAATTCTAGTCGTGGATTAAAAAAGGCCATGCAAGGAGTGGTACCTCGACACTATTGTAAAAAAGGGTACACGAAAATAATAAATGCGCGTGTGAATCAAAAACTCACATTAACAAGTCTCCTGAATAATGAGGAAAAAGCACACCACAAGGAATACAAACTGCGAGCAATTACACCAAATTCACAAGGGAACACGGAAATTTTTACCACTTTTTGCCAGAAATATTTTTTATATAGTAATGGTAAGTTCACCCCCCATTTTTACCATTTTCACACCGCTGAAACCAAAACACGGTGTATTTTACAACTTATACGGAATTAAAAAAGGCAACTATATCAATTGGTACTACGCACTACCATTCACTTTATAACTTCACGACTACCAAAAGGAACTGCTTAATATTTAATGAAGTCTGATGGGTTCTTCGTTGTCAAGTATCCTCTAGCAAAGGAGATGTTTACGGCTCTCCAATTGACCGCGCAAGCTTATGTTTTCTCTTTCTATCCTCAGGTCCGACAATAAAAACGGGAAATGATATTTGTGTGCGACCGAGCAGGATCATACAAGTCTACTGCTGTCGCGCGAAAGACCAAGAAACAACGTACAGGATGCGAGTACCGACTCATAGCGCGACAGATCGGCGTTGACAAGATGTGGCAGGTGACTCGACATGATGGAGCGCACAACCATGACATGTTCACAAACCTCGACATGCATTCTCGCGCTAGACAGCTAACAATCGAGCAACAAAGCAAGCGCATTCGACTAGAGAGAGCAGGTGTGCGGCCAAAAGAGCAACTTGCGTTCCTCAGACAAGAGTATCTGGACTTCTGCAGCGAAAGCAGGGACATATACAATGACGAACAGAAGGGGCGTAGAGAGTATTTGAATGGACGTATTCCGATACAAGCGCTGTTCGGCGAGCTGCAAGCAAAAAACTACTGCTATGATCTCAGTCTTGACGCAAAGGGTCAGATCTACCGCTTGATGGTTAAAAATATTAAATCCATCGCTCTTGCTGCAGAGTTTCGTGACGCCACCATACTCGACTGCACGTACAAGACAAACAAGATCAAGATGCCCATGCTCAATTGTGTCGGTGTCACTCGTTTGGCTAGTCATTCCTCATTTGCACAGCATTTGTTCCAAGGAAGGACGATTAGAATTACGAATGGGCTCAAACCGCTCTTAAGAAGGTGCTTAAAAGTCGAAGAAATGACGAGATTCCGCGAAATCTGGTCAGTGACAACAATTCGGCTCTCTTGAACGCTAAGCAGCAAGTATTTCCGAATGCGGCAAGATTGCTGTGCCAATCGCACATCGATTGAAATGTTTTTGCCATGTGCAAAGTTTACTTTACGAATGGCAATGAATGGATGGAGATGATCGCGGACTGGAGCGCTCTCTGCTATGCATCAAGTGTCGACGTTTTCGTAGCACGATGGGACGAATTTCAGATCAAGTACCAACATCTCCCTTTCGTCACACGCTACCTGGATAGAACGTGGGTCAAGCACAAAGAGATGGTTGTTAAAGCGTGGGTGGGAGACGTCTTCCACCTTGGCTGTTCGACAACATCTAGAGCTGAATCAGTACATTCGTACATGAAGCGCTTTTTGCGATCTTCGGTTGGTGATCTTTTCACAGTGTTTAAGCGTCCACTTGGCGATCGAGCACCAAGTGGTGGAGCTGAACAAAATGCACGCTGATGATCTTTTGATATTGGGATTTAGTGGCAAAGACCGACACACCCGTCGAAGCCGAGGTCGTCATATGAAAGGTCGTCGAAGTCAAGGTCGTTGAGCTCGAGGTCGTTGAGCTCGAGGTCGTTGAACGAGGTCTTCAAAATCGAGGTCGTCGAAGTCAAGGTCGTCGAAGTGGAGGTCGTCGAAGTGGAGGTCGCCGAAGTCAAGGTCGTCGGAGTCAAGGTTGTCAAAGTCAATGTCGTCGAAGTGGAGGTCGTCGAAGTCGAGGCCATCAAAGTCAATGTCGTCGCGGTGGAGGTCGTCGAAGTCATGGTCGTCGAACTTGAAGTCGTCGACGATAGAGCGTAGAGCAGAGTGCGATAAGATTGACGAATATTCATTACGCCTAGTTCACGCATACGGTAAGAGGAGGAGAACAGAGAACCAATCAACGGTTCAGCGATAGAAAAAGCGATAAATCAATAGAGTGCAGAATTTTCGAAGTCCAAGACACGCGTACACTGAAGGTAAGTCCCTGCATGGGCTAGAATATGCCTGCCGTCGAACCACGAAAGTCATAGCTTAAAAAGGTATCGACTGGTAGCGCCAAGAGTTAGGAAGGCCCGGGTTGGGCAGCGCTTGCTACTAGCGAAAGAAAGAGTCTCGTCGTCGACGAGCCGGTGACCTAATAGACGGCTCCGTTGAAAGTCTTGTCGAGCGACAAGCCGGCAGGCTTCAGCCGAGGGCATCGTAATTCTTCTAGTAAGACGGAAACTACGCCCGGTGACCTGTAAAAGCGCGTGAGCGTCGGCTTCCACCCGTTGGTGTGGAGTCACAGGAAGAAAGAGGTTTAGAGGCTGCTGAGCTCAGGCAGGCCTCTGTAGGAGTGGTTGTAAAGAATCGGCTAGGCAAAAGCCGCAACTGAACCCGAAGGGGAAAACCACGTAGGGATTTATCCAAACGTACTAGCCCGTTGCGCCGACTAAGCTCGGCGATTATTGTGTTTGTACGTTGAGGCTGTTATACGACGGAATTGACTAACCACTATACCACAATCTCATTCAGCGACCAACATTTGCAGCAGCGATCTTATAAACCTAGCTTGTGTATAATGTTTCATCTTATGAGCTCACCATCACCCTCGTGCACGAACACCATGCATCCACCTATCATTGCGAATTCAAGTTCCGATTGACTATGGTCCTACTGTGCAAGCACTCTACTTAAAAAGGAATCAACGCTGTTGCAACCTTCACACCAAGATATTTCGACTTGCATTGGTAGTTGGAAAAATTTACTCCTGCTTCTGCTGCAAGAGATGTGAAAAACAACGTTCGAATTGATGACTTGGTACCACATCTATTCCAAGTTTTCGACTCAGCACCAATCCATCAGAAAATTGCTATTCGAGCCCACATCACTAATACGATATTGACGGGTCCACGCGTGTCGGTGAAAGATCCAGTCGAAAGAAATCCAAAAGAACGACCATCCTGAGCAACAAACCGACAAGAGCAGCTGCGAGACCCGCTTGCGTTTAAGTAAATTTAGGGGTCTGCTATCTTGACTCGGAGGTGCAGTATCTGCAGACAATTTGGGCACAACAAGCGCTCATGCACCAATTTTGCAAGGGTATAGGAGATACTCAGTAACGTAGAGCGATCGTCGAATCGGTTAGAGGCGTGGGCACAGTAAAACAAGCATCACTTATTAATCATGGTGGATGGGGCATCGTGGTCAATGTATCGTCAACTGCATGGGTACAAACACACCAAGAAAATTGTGAAAACAACAAATCAAAACGGAAGAGCAACTGCGTGTCGTACTGTACGAGAATTCAGCATGTTCGCAGTATGCTTTGTTCACGATTATCGTAGAGCTGGTGTAGGGTCGGTATTGCAGTATACGACACGTTTTTTCTATTCTTGTTATTCTTCGTCTTAATACCTTGATTGATAGTAAGCAGTTAGATTACATACCAACATGTGATTCAATTAGTACGTAATTACGGCACTGTGAAACGTTCGTATGACGCAATAAAAATTCTGCACAGTCGTGTAGCGCCTCTTGAGATCACGCTCGTGCGCAACTGTCTTTTGCGGGATTATGAATCTCGGGCATCCATCTTCCGGACATTTTAGGCGTGTTCATCATCCGCTTGGCCTTATAAGAGAAACTGTTTCATTGTTGTCAGCTCTACTTGAGAGTCTAATCCATCTTTTA